GACTATAACTTTGTATACTAGAAACAGACTATAACTTTGTATACTAGAAACAGACTATAACTTTGTATACTAGAAACAGACTATAACTTTGTATATTAGAAACAGACTATAACTTTGTATATTAGAAACAGACTATAACTTTGTATACTAGAAAAAGACTGACTTTGTACACTAGAAACAGACTATAACTTTATATACTAGAAACAGACTATGTAGAGAGTACTGAAGACCACGTATACAGTGTACACATAGTGCATACATAGTCTATTAGAGTATATACTATATACACCTACTATACAGTGTATACAGTATGTAGACTATCCTATGGTAAGCCATATGGCCCGGGTGTGAAAGTTCAGTCACAAACTTTGCTAAGTATAGGTGACCTTGTGGCCAGCTGCCCTCAAGACCACATTCATAAGCTGACAGTTTTTCCATGTAAGTTAGGCTGGATGAAGAAGCAAATAAGAAAGAAAAGCCAATTAAGATCAAAGAGGGGAAGTCGTAAACTAACAACCAAATACACACCAAATAGGTGCAAAACTCATTCGTGCAAAACTCGTTTGTACCAAATGAATCATTGGAATAGAGAAACAATCTTCGACTTATTTGTATTTACACAAAAAAAAAGGATATCATGACTACAAAAGCAACGACGGGACAGGGAGACAGTTGACTGATGACCAGAAACACATGCATGCCAACTGTCAGCAGAGGAGGGTGAAGCGGGAGAAATGAAAGAGAAACTCACAGGTCAGCAGTGGCAGCCGGCATGTGCATGTAGAAGAGATGTGGGGGATAGTCATCTCCCTTTTTCTCTGGCGCAGATCTCGCATACTGCTCATGAATAACATTCACTGCAATACAGTAGTGGCCGGAAAAATCGCATAAATACCCCACCAAATTGAGTCCCGATCAGCGAAATTCATCCAGATATTACTATAGAATAGAAAGTGCCACACGAGGCACAACAACATCAAGAGCAAAAAAGAAAAAAGCCTGAACTTGAGAGGTTCGACATTTCCTAGATGAGGGGGGTACTTACAACGTAAATAGGACTAGAGTGTTTGTAAAAACACCATGCTGACCTTTCTTCTCTCAACAGATAGCTACAATACTCTTTGCACCAATGAGACTACCGTCTTCACGCGAATAGACTCCCGGTCATTATAGCTGTATTGGCACAACTTTCAGCCCAGATACGGCGATAATTACCGGGCGTTCCATTCAGGTGAGGACGGTAGCTCAGTTGGTAACACCCAAGAACTGTTGAAATACAGACCCGAGTTTGAATCAACATGATGGAACCAAATGAATCCATCCCTGCCGACTGCCGACCCCGACCGCCGACCGTATTGCAGCCGACCAGTAGGGCCGACCGGTCGGCGGTCTGCCGACCAGTCAGAAAACAACCATCCACTAATTTTTTTTCAGATCTCAGTTGGAAGCTGTACTGCGCTTGCTGGGTACAGCCCAAATCAGCTGCGAAACTTTTGGGGATGGGGGGGTTGGGACTGGGGTGTATAGGGGGATATAGGGGGGTATAGGGGGGTGTAGGGGTGGTATAGGGGGTATTGGGGGGGGTTATGAGGGTGTTGGGGGCCGGTTTGTGGTTGTATGGGGGTATTTGGGGTGGGTATGGGGGTGTTCGTGGGGTTATTAGGGGTTCTGGACCCAAAAAAAAGATTTTTTGTTTTTTACGGGGTGCTGACGACCGGTAGGTGCCGACCAGCCGACCGGTCGGCGGGTCGGCAGCCGACCAGTCACGGGTCGCCGACGGTCGGCGTGTGCAACTGTTACATACTCGTGAATGCAGATACAAGTATGACTCAGATTCCCAGAATCGACCAGATAATACAGAGATACAAACGCAGTGGAAGACTTGATACATGTGGACTGACCCTGACCTGACTCGGACTGCAACAAAACACTTCCAAACATACATTCCAGTGAGAAAGGCCCTGGCCTTGATCAAGGAGAAGATGGCCAGGGTCTGAACCATACACGGACGAATGGAGGAAGGGGAGAGACGAAGGAGGAGGAGAGGGAAGATGACGCCAGCAACAGGTATCCAAAAATAGTATCCTGAATGTCATAAGTAGCGCAACCCAGAATGTCGTGAATACAAAGTCTCACAGTTTCCAGATATCGATCCTCGAAGATCAAGATACATTCCCGGAAGTAGATGAAGTCAAAACCCAGAAATAGTCCTCACCCCGATGTCTCCCAGTTACCATCCCAGCTGTTTACAGAACTCGTCACCATCTCTCATACTCATAGTAGTCCGGAACCCAGACTTAGACTTAGGAGTAGGAGGAGAGAGAGAGAGAGAGAGGGAGCGGAGGTAGAGGAGGGGAGAGAAAGGTGAGGCCTTTCTCTCTGGTACCGTAGAGGTAGCTATGGCGCTGCCGTTGTAGGTGCTGCGCCAGTCCTGCCTCGCCGCTGCCGCTATGTCTCGCTGCTCCGGTCTCCCGCTGGGCGCTGCTCAGGGCTGCGCTAATGCTGAAGCTGCGCTATTCTGAAGAGCTGCGCTAATCTGAGAAGCTGCGCTAATCCGAGAAGCTGCGCTAATCTGAAGAGCGTCTAACCTCAACCTGCTAACCTACCTGACTGAGGCTGGTACCCAGCCTTTGTAGTGCTGGGCCGGCCTCTTGCCTACTGGTACCTATCGGCCTGGACCGTTGATCAGATCAACGGTCCAGATTCAAACTGGACTTGGCGCCTAAACTCTGGGCAGCCTCTGAAACGCCGCCGGTAGGTTCTAATCTGAACCGGTACCGGCTTCTGGCCGTTTGGGCCTAAACGTGCCCTGCCCCTGGCCTATCTGGGCCTGGTCTGAACTATCGTCCCCCTAGGCCTACCCTGCCTACTGGGAACCGGGCCCTGTCTGGGGCCCGTGTGGCTCAGAATGCCACAGCAACACGGAATTGCGGGAAAAAAAACAAACAAACAAAAAACACACTATTTGCAAGGTCCAGTATTGTCCTCTGACAACAAGATTTCTTTGCTGTTAAAGACAAACCAAGAGAGCAGAAAAGTAAATAAAAAAATAAAAAAATAAAAAAGGTGATACACCATCAACTCCAATGACAATACTACAATGCTCATGACTTCACTTCTTTCTTCTCTCAAAAAGAATAAGAATTTTGCAGACATGCCCTAGGCAAAACACCCAAACCCACAACCTACCAGGTGGGATCCGCTACAGCCTCCTGTCTGCTGATCGCCCAAACCCAGACACTGGCTTGGACACATGCTGAAATAGATAAGGTACCGGTCAGGTTGCACTTCCTCTTGGTACCACTAAAGATGTATGGTCCTCTAGGTGCCCGGGTGTGCAGGTTTTTTTTTGTTTTTTTTTTGTGTGTGTGGTTTTCTGTACCCTGGTACGCAGTCTTTTTTTTTTTTTTTTTTTTTTTTTTTTTTTTTTTTTTTGTTTTCTTCACTCATCCAGAGGACCCCAAATCCGGGCTCATTTCTTTTTTAAAAAGTTTCTTTGCGAGTTGGCTGTCAATGAGGGGGGAAGAAACGTATAAATTATTAAATTGGTTTTAAAGGGGCTAGAGGGGCTTAAAGGGGGGTGCCTTAGTGTGATTCTGTTACTTTCTTTTTTTATCTCCGATTCTGTAAGGAATTCTGATGTGACCTTCAGCCAAAAGTCGTTTGCAACTTTGCATTCGAATTCTACACAACACATTTTTTTCCCGGATTTTTTTTTTTTTTTTTTTTTTTTTTGGGCGCTGGGGCTGCCCAGAACCCTGCCCGGGAGTCATGCCCAGCGGGGCACCCGGGCGTGTATCCAGGCATAAGTTGGGTGCCCGGGCGCCCGGGAAAACAGCCTAGCCTTCCTCAGTATTCTTTTTCCTTTTTGTCTTCTTGCCTCCTCTCTCGTCTTCACTTCCTCCTCTCTTCTCTTCTTCCCTCCCTCCTCTTGCCTCCTGTCACATACTTGATGAGGGTCCCCATAACTCATGTCACAGCGTGCTGGGTTGAGAATTAGTATTGTGTGGGTCATAGCACGAGCTCGGCGATCTTTATTTACTGAATTTTGTTTACACTATTTCTGAGTAATTTTTACAGCCAACGAACAGACCGTGTCCTTTCGCCTCTTCCTCAGTCATTAGAGGTCACGCAGGTAAAACCGCAGGTCTATACAGTTGAGTGATTAGCTGTCCCGATTTTCCTAAGAATTGTATATATCGTCAAACAGAGCTGGCCGGTAAACCGTAGGCAGAGAGGGAGGGAGAAGAGAACAACAAACGAGGGGCTGTGACAAACTGTTTCGGCGGAGTTTATATGATTAATATCATGGTTGCCCCGGACCCGCACAACCGGACAACCGGACACGGACACCGGACCCGTGTCTGGATCAAACCGGACGTCCAGTTAACCGGACATCCGGACATCCGCAACCGGACAGTCCGGTTTACTATGTCAGTGTCCGGTTGTCCGGATTAAAAAACAAACAAACAAACAAACAAACAAACAAACAAACAAACAAACAAACAAACATCAAGCACAGAGCTCAAATGCACCAAGATTCCATCCAAATAAGAGCAAAGCAGTGAACTCGTGTGCAAATGTCATCCCCCTCAGGCCCCACCAACACAGTATCCAATGTCGCTCATCTCTGTCTGGCGTCATCGCCCTCCTATCCCTGCTCGCCCCTCCCATCCTTCATCGTCCTCCCATCCCTGCTTGCCCCTCCCATCCTTCGTCCTCCCATCCCTTCTTGCCCCTCCCATCCTTCATCGCCCTCACATCCCTGGTCGCCCCTCCCATCGCCCAGACCCTCCTCCCACGTCACAAAAATGCAAGGAATATGAGTGAGAGCGATAGACAGAAAATCAAGTTGCAAAATCACGCAGAAGTCCAGATAGTCATGTACCAAGAAGAGAGCTCAAATGCACCAAGATTTCATCCAAATAAGAGCAAAGCAGTGAACTTGTGTGCCAATGTTATCACACACAGGTCCCTTTCAGGGCCTGTCCAGTTAGGGTACCGGTTCTCAAAAAACATCAGCATTATTTTTCCAGGGTACCCCAGGCCCAGGTAAACGTGCGAGGATTTGACCCCTCGGCAGTGTTGGGAAAATCCTTGCCCACCCTAAGTGAAGGCGGGTCTGCCAATATGTGCCAAGGCCTGGGTACAGGCCAGTGTGATCACCCTAAAGGGATCGTATGTGTGCGGAGAATGAGCCCTCACGGGGCCCTTAACAGACATGCACATGTTCTGGGCAGAGACCCTCAGCAAGCCCTGTGCCCGCCCTAACTGAAGGCGGGCCTGAGTACTCGTAAGAGGCCAAGATTTGACATTTCCATATGTGGGTATCAGACAGTTGCAGCATGCCAGTTGGTTACAGAGCAACGTGAGCCTCTCCTGGCTCTTTCCGGAAGTTGCAGCCTCGATGGGCAGTTGAGCCCAGGGCCCCGTACAGTTAAGGCCCTGGGTGTGTGCTTTCAGAGGCCGGCACATCATACAACAGCCACCAATGAGTTTGCAGCATTGTCGGCACAAAGTGGCCGTGAGGCCAATGAGATCACAGCGAACATGTGGAGGTCCGTGGACTGCCTGGACGTGCCCAACTGTAAAGGGCCCAGGCCTGGAACTGCAACTGGGCCTGGATGCAGGCATTGAGGCCCGACTGGAAGCTACTGGATGCTCGCCCAGCCAGGCCCAGAGGCAGCAGAGGCTGAGCTCACTTTCCATATAGGAAAGTGAGCATCGCTGGGCAGGTCATTCTGGCCTAGGCAGGAATGCGGCCACGCTGTTGCGTTGCACCTGCCGGCTGGGTCGCGCACACGAGCGCTGAGGTGTGAGGTGCACTGCTGGGCAGTGGGCGCACGGCAGCCATAGC